TTGAATTCATTTTGAATTTTGTGTTTTGAGTATTCATTTTGAGATTGTTGAAAATGTGTTCTTTTTGGTATTTTGAAAAATTGTTTTGAAAACACAAAAAACGATATATTTGTCGTTTTGAGTTTTCTTTGTAAATCTTTAATTTGTTTTCAAAAACACGTTTTCGAAAATGGAAAAGAGAATGCGTTTTCACTATTTTGAAAAATCGAAAACAGAAAACTGCTTGAAAATAGTAAAGAAAACAGACGCTTAGCTTTATCAGCATTCAAATTCGGATATTGGAAAATGTTGAAACATGAATGAAAAAGATGTGCTTGAGATATTTACACCTTTTGAAGATTATGCAATCAACTCACTGTATCATGACTTCCTTTTTCTTTCTCTTCTATTTTTTTGGTAGATGGAAGCTACGCCGGATATAGGATTTAATTTTTCTTTTGTAGCTTCTATTTTGTTTGTGTTGAAGGCTTGAAGTAAGTTCAGATGTCATCCTACATGTTAGGTCCAACATTGCGTGAAATATTTTATTTGCTCTTAGTCTTTCCTCATCTTTTCCTACTAGTTAGTTCTGAACTCTACTTTCCGATTCTTTTCATCAGTTAGTTCTGTTTTTATAAAATAATCAGATTGGATAGTTAAAAGGTGGTTGTTTTACAGTGCCTAGAATGGTAAGCTCCTCATTATACAATACCTAGACTTAATATCCTATAATTTCCTTCCATGGGAATTTAAAATTGGAATCTCTCCTGTAACTTTATTTCATAATTGCTTGTTACACTGAACTACTGCTACATGTTTGTTGTTTTTTTCTCTCAAATCCATATCCATGTCATTTGACTTATCATGACCATGTGCTTAAATAATGATGGGTGTACAAGCTTTTCGTTTTCCATTCAGACGTGAAGTAATTTTTGAATTTTTGTATGCATCAGGTATGTGGAGCAACTAGTTGGAAGTGCAGAGGCAGCAGTGGAGGAAGTCATCCGTCGGGGAGTAAGTTTTCATGCTCTTTGCTTATCATTACTCAAAAATATAATTTAGACACTAGAAAGGATTGATTTTGGAGTTTCCCTCCTATAAAGGTGGCTCATCCAAACAAAATTTCCATAGGCGGTCATTCCTATGGGGCTTTCATGACCGCGAACCTCCTAGCACATGCACCTCATCTTTTCTGTTGCGGAATTGCACGCTCAGGAGCATATAATAGAACGCTTACACCTTTTGGGTTTCAGGTAGAAATATCCCCTGATTTCTTTTCCCAGTAGTTTTGGCCTTTTCATATTTGTAATACTGGGGGAGGATTAGTATATAAATGTTGGATGCGGGAGTTTCTTTTTGTTCCCTAGACTATACTTTTATTTTGCATGGTATGGAAATTCCCCAATTGTTGTTTCGCAGAATGAGGACAGGACACTTTGGGAGGCTACTTCTACCTATGTTGAGATGAGCCCTTTCATGTCAGCCAATAAAATTAAGAAGCCTATCTTGCTTATCCATGGAGAAGAAGACAACAATTCTGGAACCTTGACAATGCAGGTCGGATTCTGTTTATTTTGATTTAGATTTGTTTTTCTTGAAATAAAATAAATGGAAATAAAGTGATTCTCTGTAACTCTCTCTCTAACTCACCTAAACTTGTAGACAGTTTTGACTTTTATGCCGTTAATGCCGAGCTGCTTCCTCGTTCTTGAAGATTATCTTCTTTGTTCAAACCATATTAATTTCTGTTTTGCAATGATGCAGTCCGATCGCTTCTTTAATGCTTTGAAAGGTCATGGTGCACTTTGTCGCATGGTTATTCTTCCCTTTGAGAGTCATGGTTATGCAGCACGAGAGAGTGTCATGCATGTTCTCTGGGAGACTGACAGGTGGCTACACAAATACTGTGTAGCAAATTCATCAGATGTTAGCGAAAATTTGGATGCACATAAAGATGATGCAAGTATAGGCACAGTAGATACAGACGGCAAAGCTGTCAGTGCAGCTGGGGGAGTTCCAGAATGGGCAGATGACAAAATTGATATATTTCACTCTCCCTGTAGGTCTTCATTGTGGTAATGATCTCATCTTTCACTAGAGCTCATCTTTTAAGTAAGTTTTTGTTTTCGAACATGCTTGGATAACTGACTTTTACTTATTTTTAAGTTAAAACATTAATTAATTTTGAAATTATATAAGTAATTTATTTCAACTCTAACCTGTAAAAGAAATTGTGTTCGAAACTAATTTACTTGTGAGCAAAATTTTTAAGCTTAGCCTTACATGCTCCGCATTTGCAGAACGGGAAGGTCATTAGATGGAAGTGCAGAATCAATCCCCAATGTGTGCATGAATCCATTCTCCTGCTTCAATCTATGAAGGATATATGAAATAAAAATATATGCCAGTAGTTCCGTTGAGACTACTCTTTCTTGTGATTTGATGCCACGAGCACTTCTTAAGATCATTTCTTTATATTGGAGCTAGGTATACATTGATTCAACAAAATTAGCCACAAAAGTTACAAAAGAATAAGGCCCACTCTTAATACCTATAATTGGATATTCCTTCTGTAATCACTCAATATTATTAGGTTCTTCATCTCATTTCTTTCGAGTCAAAGTGGAAAACTGGCTTATTTGACGTGTTTGGAGTCATGCACAGCAATGAGTTATTTCAATATACATTTGTAAGTGGGCGGCATCCCCTGCTCGTGACCTTTGCCCAAAACAAAATGGAGAAGAAAAGAAGGCAAAAAAGAAAAGTATCATGTTGCCAATGTGATCTGCTAAGTTGTTGATTATAGTTGCTTCAGAGTTGGCTATAACTCCACTTCTTTTGGTTGCGCCATTCATGCCTTTTGAATAGCTGCCAAATTTTCTTTTAGAAGGTATCACTTCTTCTGGTCACTTGGAGATATGGTATGTTTGTTAAATTGGAAAGTATTAAGGAAGAAAAATAAGTTAGAATCTTGTCTACTGCAGTGTCTAGTCCTATCCAGTATTGCGTAGAAAATATGCCAATAGGTATACAAAATAGAACCAGAATGCATGTACCCCGATCCATTTGAGGTTTATCTTTTTCAATTTTCAGAATCTATTACTAATATTTGCTAAATTGTTAATATTTCACTTTCTTATCCTCGAATTCTTATCTTCCTCTCTATATTGGATGAAACTAGATGTTTTGATAAAAGGTAGTGGCTTATCGAGGACGCAACTAAGTTTATGCCTAAAATTGCTTTTCTTAAAGCCTTTTTTTTTTTTCAATCTTTTGACGTCAAAATTACATTTTCAATATGTGCAATGCTCTACAAGTATTTGTAGTATGGTACTTTTGGTGTGCACAAAATTGTCACATGCTATTTCAAGCATATCTTCTCTACTATTCCATGTATTTTAAACGAGTATTTAGAATGAAACGCAACTTGGTATCCTGGACAAACTGTGGCTGCGAGTGATAAAGGGGCTAAGCATAGATGCGACCCTCGACACTTGGGCATCGAAAGGTAAGCTCTTAGTGCATGTTTGGTATAATGTAGCGTAGCAGAACAAGCACAAAATTATCAGAGTTCTAAGATAAAAGCCAATTTTTTCTAACTAAAAGTGGATGGGAAAAGTGGAGAAATCTAAGGAGTTAATAAAAATTCCCAAGTTAATGAAAACCAAATCTTAAATTCTAGTCCTGTGCAATTAACAGAACTGGATTAAGAATAATAAGTTGGAATTAAAACCAATGAATAAAATGAGTACATTTTTTTTCTTTTATCAATCAGGCCTCTTAAACCCCGAGTCATAGAGTGATATTAAAGAGGGTTGGATCCCGTGCAATGATTACTTATCAACGAAATGAATTTGTTGAGAAGGTACAATTCAAACCTTCTCATCGTTAGCTATGGACACTTGTACCCTCCTACAAACTAAAACTGTGACTATCCAAACGAGACCTTTCACCACCCTAACCACTCCAGTTGTGACAGTCAAGTAATACAACCACCAATCCATAAAATCAGCCATCCCAACACTTATCATAAGCTCCCTTTTGATCTCCGCCACAACCACCAGTGGATCCACCTCATCCCTCAGCCTCCACCACCATAAGCCGGCAAAGGTAACGGTCATAACCACCTTCTCAATCCACTTCTCCTCCCTTGAGCAACCAAACACGGTGTCATCCACCACCGGCTTCACCACATTTCTCGACCAAAACAGCATTGTCTCGTGCAATCCAAAGAAGAAAATCACTCTGCATAAAATATTCCTCTTTTCATCAAAACGCAAGCTATCTATTCCGGCAGCTATACTCCCTTCAATCCCCAAACCAACGCAAACTTGTACCGCGCAAAGAAAAACCCATGCTGCATGCAGACCAGGCCGGGCCACTGGCTCGACTGATGGTCTTAAAAATGCGACTTTACCTGTCAGGCCATGTGTAAGAGCTGCAACACTAAGAAGAGAAAGCAACAAATGGAGAATGGTTGGCTTGGTGTACAAGAAAAGAGTCCATAAAAGGGAAATGGGCTTTGTCGCGGGATAATTATCTGAGACAGATAAAAGATAGCGCGCGGTGGAGAGTCGAGCAAGGAGGAGGAATGATAGCGGGAGGAGGAGGCTGAGGAGGGTGGTTGTGAGGATTTGGAAAGCATCCCTCGCGGCGGTCCAACCCCAATTTTTCTTCACATTTTGTTGACAATTTGTTTCCGAATTTGAACCCATTTGATTGACCGAAGACACCAATTCTTCAAAAGAAACTGTTTACAAACAACATCATATTGGCCTGTATATCAGATTATGAAACATATATAGTAAAATTGAAGGAATATAAAGTGGTTGGCACGACTTAGTTGGTTGACATAGGAAATAGTCACATTTGACCATGCCTACATTTGTCTGCGCGTGCGCATGACATTCATTTCTGTGGGAAGTCATCCCAATGATTTATACACAAAACTGATGTTTCAATGGGTTGAGGATGGCACATTGTTGCTTTCTTACCATAAAACTATACCCGTTCCATTCATGGAAAGAGTACAAACATGAATAAAATAATGAGCTCGTACTTGGAGAGGTGTAAAGGTTGGTCACCTTAGATTGGGACGACTCGGCCATTGTCTTGTACAATTTATTAAGTCTTGAAATTTCATTTTAAAATATCAATTTTGTTAATAAAAACTACGCAAATGATTATATGTTCGGTTAATATTTTCATCTTTAATCAATGTGTTATATTTCCTTTTAACATATTTTCACAAGAGTGACTCAATTGAGAACATGACCAACAGACTTAGAAATCTCTCCTTGATATCTACATACATCCCCAAATCATATCCCACCTTCATTTTGTATTGTGGCATGCACATTTATTTTCAGACATCTCGTTGGTGGTCTTTGCCAAGTCCATCCTGTCCCTAAGGGCTGATTAATCATCAAATTGGTGGTCTTA